TTGTGTCTAAAAGATGGGGGATATTTGAGAATGCGTAATGTCATATAAATTGAGAAGAAAAAAAATTGTGAAAAAGCTTTCATTTAAACGCTGCTTAGTAACGGAATATCCACCAAAGTGAAAATTATTGCTCGGCAAAAAAATATTAGGCTGCAATAAAAGTTGTCCATTGTCAAGAAGCGTGCAAGGGAGGTAACTAAATTCTTAGAATCGGGATATGAAACTAGTTTATTACAAATTACCAACATATATATATTTCATCATGAATAAACAATATCACGATGTCATGTTATATCATGGTTATTCAAATTCAACAATAGTACACGAGGCAAATAAATGTTTCAAGCATGTAATTCAGGGTCACAATTCAGTGAGTTCAGTGAATGATTATTTTTCTATTAAGATTTTGATGATAATATCTCTAACTAACACAACAATTCCATTTGAAATCTTAAATAATGAAATTAAAATTTTATGAGTAGTTTATCTATAAAGCATCATAAAGATCTTTGTCTGTTACATTACCATCAGACCATCTGATGCAACCTAACAATATTAAAATATATAGTCTTTAATTCTTTTCCAGTAAATAGTATTTAGAAATCAAGTAACAGAGTCCAGAAAATAGCAGTTTTTCAATTGTTGCATTGAATAATCTTATTAATATCCATTTTCTCAGAATTGAAATAACTCAAGTAGATTTAAAGATGGGACATAGACTAATGAAAAGAAAAAATCAGTGAATCCAATTATTAGTTAGTCTTGGATATAATAGATGTGACACTTAAAAACAGCAGCTTAAATATAAAATGTTTGAAGTAGTTTATGGGACTGATCATGGTGACCCTGGCATCAATACAAAATAAAAAAAAAAACAATTATTCAATTAAAATAATTATCTAAAGAACAGTATGTCATCATAAAGTAAAATCTAAAGTAAATACTCCACTCTGAAATTGAATCAAGTATCCTTCATCAGATATCTCCAGAGTCTCTTAAATAAGAAACATTGCATTTGAAATTGATGGCTTTTATTATCAAAATAAAACATTTCATGTGACCAACACAGTATAATGCACAGAAGTGTCTCAAATCAAATTAGCTCATTTTCTAACTTTGATCCTGAAATATACTAAAATTAATTTCAGACAACTTGTACCTTGCACATCGATAAAACCTTATTTTCTCTAAATCTGCTGACTTACATGTCAGGATAGGGGAATACATTTAATCACATGTTAAAACGGGGAATACAATAACTTATATGTTAGGATTGGCAAATATATTCATTTATATGTTTGAATAGGGGTATAAATTTACTAACATTTTAAGATGGGAATATATTTACTCACATGTTAGGATAGAGGAATACATTTATTCACATGTTTAGATAGGGGAATACATTTACTCGCAGGTTAGGATAAATATACTTACTCCCATGTTAGGAGAGGGGAATACATTTACCCACATGTAAGGATAGGGGAATATATTAAGAGGGGAATACATTTACTCCCATGTTAGGAGAGGGAAATACATTTACTCACAGGTTAGGATAGGGAAATACATTTACTCACATGTTAGGATAGGGGAATACATTTATTCACATGTTAGGAGAGGGAAATACATTTACTCACATGTTTAGATAGGGGAATACATTTATTCACAGGTTAGGATATGGAAATACATTTACTCACAGGTTAGGATAGGGGAATACATTTACTCACAGGTTAGGATAGGGGAATACATTTACTCACAGGTTAGGATAGGGGAATACATATACTTACATGTTAGGATAGGGGAATAAATTTATTCACAGGTTAGGATGGGGAAATACATTTATTCACATGTTTGGATAAGGGAATAGATTTACTCACATGTTAAGCTAGGAGAATACATATACTTAGAATTGGGGAATATATCTATTTATGTTTGGATAGGGGAATACAATTACTCTCATGTTGGAAAGGGGGTATAATTATTTATATTTTAGGATCAGGAAATACATTTACTTACATGTTAAGATAGGGGAAAATGTATGTATTTTGATTAAGGAATACATTTACACGTAATGTTTGGATAAGGGAATTTAATAAAATTTACTCGCCTTTTCTCTATTGATCAGACGTGGCGAAAGCATATTGAAAAAATGATGGTATTCTTCAGATAGAACTGCCATTTTGCAAATTGTTTCTAAATTAATTTTAGTTTATTCTAAGGTCCCATAACACACTCCAGCCCACCCCATTTAAACAGTTCAATTTTTTTTCTTAAGAAACTTTAAAAATGCTTTTGCTCCTAATTTTTGAATCCATTGTTTTAACCGTTGTTTTTCATTCTTGTCTGCTCGTGGGACTTCTCAGTATTCAGACTTGGGGGAAAGAGCGGGACAACATTGCTATTGTTTGGGAGAGCATTCATTGTGAAGACCCTGGCACACTTCATAACTTATGCAGCCCTAACTAACACACATCTTGCTGGAGCGCTTCTTTTAACAATAAGATGTTCACTAATTAGTCCTGATTGGTGAGTTATTTATGTATTATAAACATGAAATATCCATATTATAGGGCCAGGTTAATAATTAATTTCAAATTGAACATGGATTTCTAACAAAGGAAGAATTACTATGTAGAATGAAAAAAACAATAGCTGAGAGGAGAATAAAAAACATCTCCATTGTAAAACCCTAGTGCAATTAACACACTGATTGGCTACACCCTCAAAAAGATTAACCAATACCCTTTTATTATATAGACTACTGGAAAATGAAGCTTCATAGGATCTATTTGTTATCATATTGTCTAAGTTTACGCAAGCAAGCGCCATCCAGGGCATAAAGGATATAAACTTGAGGTCCTCTCTTTGGTTTCTTTGCACACAAAATACCCACAGGAGCGCTATGTTGGGCTTTAGATCACATAGGAGATTCACCACATGTGAGTATGAGTTTTTGTTTCCACATAACCACTAGTCAAGGTGGATTGTGGGCCACACTTTGGTCATAATACAACATTGTGGTGGTCACAATACAACTATGTGGTCATGCAACAATAGAGTGGTCACATAGCAACACTCTTAGTTGTTTTATGTTACATGATGATATACCTTGACATTGCCAATCAAACTTAAACATTTATTCACAATAAGGTTAAAACTAAGTTATTAGTTTGAAACTTTGAGTAAAATATCACTTATCACTTTTATATTTTTATACTTTATTTATTTGGTTTTAATATTGAATATCGTAAACGATTATAAAATATTTTGGAAGCAAAAACTAAGAATATTACCATGAATGTCTCTTCATAGGTAGGTTTTACAAATACTAACTTTGTACCAAATCATTTGACAACATATTTTATGTAGCAGTGTTTTCTATTGAGCAATACTGAGTGGTGTTACCACCATCAGATACTAATTTCACCACCCAAATCAGATAAGCACCATCCATTTTTTGAACGACAAGTATTATTTTAAGTGGGCACTCTGATCCTACGACTTAGTTTCAATAGCAGATCAGGTCGCATATTTTGACCAACTTTTTCTACCACTGTACCAATACTGATCAAATATGATTGGAGGACCTTAACTCGCCTTTGATCTTTCTAACAATCATAGATGTGTAATGATTACCAAATAATCATTTTTTACAGGATGTTACAATAATGCATTATCAATTTAAAATTTCTCATATTCAACGAGATCAATATCAAAATAAACATGAAATATTGAATGCACAAATACCTAAGTTATATGGCTTGTCACCTGTTTTCTGATATCACCTTACCCATAGTATGGCTACAAACACCTTCCTGAATAATGCACTTAATCAACATGATGCAGAAATCAATATGCTGAATTTCAGTTATTGCCGATTTGAAAAACGCCATTGTTTTGGCATTATGTAAGACAAGGACGGTATCTTTGACAGGCGTACTACAAGTTAAAATAAAAGCAATGTCAATGTTTTGCACGGTGTTGACTGTACAGTAACACCTGTTATAGGATTTGAAGGTGAATTCGCCATTGAAAAGAATACCACAATCAATGCAAAGTATAGTTTTAAAAAGAAAGCAACGAGGGATTTTACTGTGTTAACACTATGTGTGATCTATAGAAACAGAAAATTGGAAATGATAAACGTGCAATGTTAAATTGCGAAAATAGGGTGTTGTTATTGACATGAAAGATGAAAATTTAAACCTAGGCAGGATATAGAGGATGCTGTAACAGATCGGATCGATCATTTTAAGAAACCAGAAGTCAATGTTTGATTTACGAATAATATTGTGTGCTTTAAGGCTGTTCAGTTCACTTGCTACAGGGATGTAAAACACCACGCTCAACACCCTTGACTCTTCATAAAATGGAGATTCATTTCAAATAGAGTGAAATCGATACTTAATCTTAATATCTATTATTTCTTCAAATATCAACAACAAAGATTTTCACCTGAACATGTTTGTTTAATGAATGACATTGATATCTCTTTGAATAAACAGACAGGTATTGGGGGTTCTAAGAAAAAAATATGGAATTCACATGTAGTTAAAACAACTGTTCAATTGCTGTCCTTTGTTTTTTATTACAATTACAGTAGATTTAATACAAACACAATTATACTAATATTTGAAATTTCTAATTTAGTTTACTATGTTTAGTTAAATGCTACTTTGTTTACCTTTTAAAAGTATTTGAGTTCTGAATACATTAAATTACTTGTCTATGTAAAAACTACCTATAGATTGAAACTTGGGGGCCAAGTTTAAGCCATCAACTTCTCCATTAATGAACAAATGAAATAGTCTAGTATTCTCCCAAGGATTTCTTCTCAAATGGATGAAATTTCTTTTTTTCACAATTTTATACCAAATTTGGTCAAAATATGTCTTTTTTTTCTTTAAGGCTTTTCTTATTTTCAAGTGGGTGCAAATAGATTCTCAGAATCTCAAATAGGTGCAGGACCCTATTGCTTTAATGCTGAGATTACAATTACTTACATCATTTGTTGTATCTCTGCGATAAACCATGTTGTTGGGGAGCCACCTATATGCCCTGACCCTGGGGACCCCATGGGTGTAGAAGCAGAAGGTGGAGTAGACATCTAGTAATCGACAGAAGCAATTGACTGAAAAAATATGTATGTGTACATGTTAAATATCTATGTGAAGGCAATATGTATATAATAACAATCTGGAAATGCTAATCATAAAACAGATGCTTTAAGCCGAATTTCAAATTTAAAAAAATTAAAAATATATATTTGAAATTCAAAAAATCCTCATCTCAAAACAGCAGATGATTTTGGAGAAACCATGCAGAAAATTGCATACCAATATTTTCACATGTTGCTTACTATATTCAAGAATAAAATAACAATTAATTCTTGTTAGAATAGAAATTAATTTTGACATCATGCATGATAGTTACATTCAGGGCCAACATTGACCAACCAAGAGGTATTAATCTGAATGTGGTTACTTGCAAACTCCTATTGTTCTAAAATTATATGGCAAATTAATCCATGCATATGCTTAAAATACATCTTAAATCACTGAAAACCTAGAATTTCTCTGTATTCAATTGTTTGACTATTAACATGTCCACTTTTGTTTCGAACCGGCATCAATTTCAAATTATGATTTAATCTAAGCTTTGAGCAAGTGTATGAGATTTAGTGCTGAGTTCTCTTTTATTCCCATATATGGTAAGAATAATACGGACTTCCGCTATACTGATTTACTGATTGGCATTAAAGGGATCATTAAACCATGTTCAGTATAGTATAATACCATATTTAGTGTAATATCATATTTATGTAATATCATATTTAGTGTGATATCATATTTAATGTAATATCATATTTAGTGTAATATGAATATCAAACTAAAGTAGAATATTTAAAGTTTCAATGCATGGATATTATGTTTCATTTATAAAGGAAATAATTCATAAAATAAAATTGATTCCTATCAATTCCATTAACAACAAAATGACAACATCATGATGGCAAATGCAAATGTGAGTAATTTATGCACGCTATGTGGCTTTTTTAAGTGATGCAACATTTCTATATTTGTTCAGTCTCTAATTTTATTGTGTTGAAATTAGCAGAGCTATAAACAACAAAAAACTAAACCCATGTTTCAAACTAAATTCATAATATAATTTTGATTAATTGTAGGTATAAGCTAATTTGAGATTTTACATTGAAATAATAAAAAGAACAAAATTGTTAATATGATAATCCATTCCGGTCACTTGATCAAAGTCATCAATTAAACCGCAGTACCAATACATATGTCTTAATGACAATGATGCTCATTAGGAAAAAAGATGTCAATTTTTTGTTCCAATTTTATCTATTATGTTCACAAATCCAAGGATTTTCAGTGATCAAACTTGCGATTATTAATCTTTTTACAACAAAAATTTTTCATCTGTCTGACTAGGGAGTGTGCCTTGTATTATAACACAGATTACTATTTTCCTGTTTTAACTAATTAGTCCCACTCTAATTAGGATTGAAAGTGCCATTTTACTGTGCCTGGAAAGAGAATGAATTTCTCACTGAACCATGACCAATTTAGGAAATTTGATTAAAAAATTGCATGTAGGTTCTATAATACCGTAGACAAAAGTGGTGACACTAAAAATCAAAATACACATTGTAATCTTATTTTTTCTCAACTGAATGGCGAATGCAACATTTTTTACAATGTCCACAACTGATAAATTAACAGATGAATTTTTAATTTGATACATGCAGATCACTGATAAACATTCTGATACTCATCACATCTCTGTCTCATTAAAGTAAACTTTCATAGGATGTTACCAGCACCTAAAAATGGGTGAGGCAAATTTAAAAAGGTGAGGCAAATTTAAACAGGTGAGGCAAATTTAAATAGTCAGGGAGATTTGAGTTCAAGAGCCGTTCTGCATAGACTTTATTTTCTGTTTCATTACAAAAATATTATATTTTTTTCTGTAAAATTTTGTTGAGTTGCCTCGCAAAATACTACCAGATAGTAAAGTTTTATGGTCTCAATATTATAATATTTCATTGTTATTTTAAGGACCATCAAACTTAATGAGTCTTACAGTACATCTAACCCTATAATATAAATGCATGTTAAACATGGATGGTATTAATGCTATTTATACACCTGCTTTAAAGTCTATGTTGTGCATCAAAACAAATAGAAAGATGCATGCCCATTTAATTTTGACCACTGAAGTCAACAGCTCAACTAAAATGTCATAAATGATTAATAAACAACTGATCTCAGTATGTAGTACTAATTATGAATCCCTTTGCACTTTTTATTCAATTGACCCCTACCTAAGGATGGAATTAAGAGGCCCATTAAAGAGGAATTATCCCATTAGTGGTTAATCAGTATAATTGTCTTGAGCCACTTTGACCCTAATAAAAGATATGCTCACTTTGGTAGATCCTTTTACACCTTGAAGTTGCGTACTTGACTTCTGTCAAAGATTTCTTTATAAATCATAAAGTAATAAATGTGGAAAATATCATAACACACATTTCAAGTGAACTCTTCATAAAAATACATTTTTTTAGAATATAATTTGAAAGGATGTCATTTAACTTAAAAAAATGTTGACTTGAGTCTATAATTTGGCTAGAGATTACTCTATAAAGTTCACTTCATACTCTAAAAAATTTAATTTTTGGCATTTCAGTCCAAAATCCGCATGTTTTCATTGAAAATAGAAGATTGAATCATCTAGTTCTAATAAAGGTAGTTTCATCAATTGGAAGAAAAACAAATTTTAGCGTATTCATTGATGAAATATGGTACATGTATTTTACCTGTTAGGTATGAATTACAATTTCATACATAATGTTTTCCCAATCAATGGTGTTGTCTTATTTTGTTTCACTATGGATCAATGCATCAACCAATCAGCGTTGAGGTTGTTTATCACTATCGGAAACATGATAAAAAAAGAAAAATATCGGAGTGGTAAGTTCCATTGATTCTATGCGATGGAAGGGTTGAAATATGTGAGGTTCATAGCGTAAATTCGAGGTAGCAAGCATTTGCTCCCGGCCATCAAGTTTTGGGGGTTTTCTCAGTTTTTTTACTTCAAAATGGGACCTAGAAGTGGAGATTTTTTTGTGAAAAAATGACCCACTTTAGTGGCGTCTCCCCATATACCCTCCCCCTGGGCCATATTTCACTTTTATTTGATAACATTTCTTGTTGAAGACCAATTAGATACAGCCTATTTCATTGTTTTATTTCGTCAGTAAGACCTAAATAAAAATAAGAAATCAAAAGATCATTGTGGAATAATATATGGAAAAATATATTCCTATTCTACATAAATGACATAAAGTATATCTTGGATTGCTTCTAGTTTGGCTAATAAAGTATGTGGCCTCTTATATTTTGATGCTTCTCTGCCATAGTATTTTCAAAAAGATTAACTTGTCTGAAATTCTTTAAATTACAAGAGGGCAATCGCCATTTTTCCACATCACAATTTGAATTGCCAGTTTTGGTCTTATTACCTCACCAAAAATTCCAAAACACACATGAGGTGATCAATGTATTAGTTCACATCTTCTGGATTGCTTACTTAGAATTTACAGCCAGGTACTAATGACAATAACGACATTTCGTCCAGTTTTCAAATATCGACATTTTTCTTAGAGCCGTATATTTTAATTTTAGACAAAATCCTGCAATATCTCATCAAGGAGCCCAGCCAGTTCCAATTTATTTCATGATTTATTTATCTGACAATTTTTAAAATATTTAATAAATTTATAATTCGCTGGCCAGCTTTTTTCAAATGGTTCACGGTGTTCCAGATGAAATTACTTCTAGCCAAGAATTGGCTAGAGACTCGAGTAAGGCTGTAGTAACATTATGGATATGATTCTTCAAATCATAATTCATATATACTTTTATTTTGTTAAATTATATATCTGCTTTATATGGGCTTATTAGCCTTTTGCAGATTATTGACATAGACATAGAAAGACTGTCTTGATATATGGAAAAATGGCAAATTCATCGACTGAGTCTTAGTCATATAAATCCGACCATCGTATGCTTTATTTGTCATTATTTTTTGATAATTTGGATATTTATTTTTTGTTATTTTCTTGCATACTAGGGTCGTACACACTTCCCAGTTGTAAATTGAGGGAAATGCTTTCCTGGCCTGTTTAGGCAACCAAAATCACACAAATTATGTATTAGAATATGCTCTTCATCGATAATGTATTTAATCCTACCTTACACACGTCAAACGCTTGATAATTGAAGAAGTATAAGAATTTTTCTGGAAACAATTTTTTTCCCCATGTGTAGATGCATTCTGGGTAATGATTGTGTAAAAGTAAAACTCTAGGTGAAGCGAAAAACGAAATTACAATAAATAACAGCAGCCATATTGAGATCGAGATTTCAACTCGAAAGTTTATCATCGTCTTATGACAATTGAATCGCCTTCTCAGACACCAAGGAGGGTGAAGAAACCGAAAACAGATATGTTGGAAATAAATAATTACGATTTCATTTTGGTTGCATGGTTTCACATTTAGACTGTATTCAGTGACCTTGAGTGACCTTGAGAACCATATTGGAAATTGGTTCAAACATATACGAAAATGATTACATTTCTTCAATTATCAAGTATTTCCTGTGTTAAAGGTAAGAGTTAATACATTCTAGTTGAAGCATTGGATCCATTATCTTATCTGTGTAACTTTTGTTGAGCATAGAGGGCAGAAAAGCATTTACCGCAATATACTGGGCTTAATATCCTCGACGCAAATGTTGAAAACAAAAATAAAAAACAAATATCCAAATCGTCAAAAAGAAACGTGAAACAACAACATTAAGTCGAGTTCACTTGACTACTGAGTCTCGATATCATGATAGATGAATATTTAGATTCGGAAAAGAAAAGTAAATTGTACACACTGTCTAGGCATATGTATAGAGAAAATCTGCTGTTCAGTATGAATAAAATTGTATTCATCCATAATGCCGAAGGCATGATTTTTGAATCATCATAGAGACTATTATCGCCCACGATATTTTTTCCTTTTTTAGGTTTTACAATTTTGAAATTCATTCCACATATACACTGCGTTCAGGAAGTAAGATCTCTTACCTAGAGTACCTGCATCTGCTATGGTACCTTGTGTTTAACTATGCAAATGCTTGATGTTTGAAATTACATCTAAATGGTATAAAATAAGCTTTAAAATGACAAATTCTTCGTCCTGAAATCACATGGAAATCCGAACTGCGCATGCGTCAGGTCAAATTAAACTTTTTGCGCGAACTTGAGATTGGATAACACAGCAATTTTGTTCTAAAATCACATTCTCACAAACCACAAATATGTTTGGGATATAAGCCATTATCAGGTAAGACGTACATTTTGCTGCTCTTTCATCAGGTCTTCATATGTACGCTTAGAATTCATACATATTAGACGCAACAGTTATTGCGCAAGATTTTGAAGAACACGGAAATGACAGTGGCAGACAATCCGCGTGGAAAAAACATTGGGATCATTCTTTGGATATATTCTAACAAATACAAATAATGCCCGCTGCCGGATATTCAACTCAACTGTATACATGTGCTTTTTCTGAAGACAAAAGGATTGGGATAGGTACTTCAACATTGTAAACATACCAGTTATGTGTCGGGAAATATATGGGGAATATGATCCCCGGGAGAAAACGAGATCGGTTTCTGATGTTCCGGTTCGATTCAAATTTGACAATAAGTCATAATTCAAGTGTATTGATTCTTTTTAACAATCTGGTATTTACTTATTCATGTCCGTCCATTTATGTACTTGATAACTCGACATTTGAATGATTCATTCATAAAATAGTTGATTGACAGCCAAATCACATATCTTCTTCCGCTACCTAATCGTAAATAATATAGTCCCTCAAAAATTTACTGCATATTGGAAAATTTTTATATCTATTATCTTTAATAAGTATATTTTCATAATTGATGTAATTTTTGCTTGTTACATATACAGAGTGTTGTATGTTTTTGCACTAATTGTATTTTTTACTTCTGTATTTGGCGGATGAATATGCACGAATGAGTCATGAGGAGTGGTTTAGTGGAAGCTGCTTACTATATTTCATTCATTCATAAACTTAGCGTAAAACCACAAGCGGCTACTTCACAGTGTGGTTTATAATTTACAGTTTTATATTAATGTTTTTGAGATAAGTTATTATAACAGCTGATCACTAATGGTTATGCATCCATATTTAGATCTTAACGGGAGTGCGCCGTTCCCGGACTCTCCAAGAGGCACGATGTCGGACATTATGACGGGGGAGCGCACATTAAGCGCAGTGCTGAGTGAACACCCAGGAGAATTAGTTCGCACAGGGAGCCCCAACTTGGTTTGCTCCGTCCTCCCATCACATTGGCGATCCAACAAAACACTTCCAGTGCCATTTAAGATCGTGGCCCTGGGTGAAGTTCCGGATGGTACAAAGGTCACAATCAGCGCAGGGAATGATGAAAACTATTGCGCTGAACTTAGAAACTACACCGCCGTTATGAAGAATCAAGTTGCGAAGTTCAATGATTTGAGATTTGTTGGAAGAAGTGGAAGAGGTAAGTGAAACATATGATAAAGTTTTAAACTCCAATAAAGCATTGCATTACAGTCAGTGGAAATGGAAAATGAAAATTTTCATACTTGATTGCCCTTGATTGAGGCATAGATATAAAAGTCTCAGTATCAGCTAATAGCATATTAATGCCAGGTACAAGTAATGGACAGGTTGTATTGATAAGCTATGAACATGATTGTTCAGAGCACAAAAAATGCATTTTACCCCAATCCATTGAAAATAATCAAAAAAGATTCATCTACAAAATCCATGGAATGCAATAGCAATTTCTTGGTAAATAAAAGTCGTGACATGAAATGGTAATAAAACTTTATATTTATTATGATATTAATGTATATGTCATTAATATCATAGTATCATGGTTACTGATTACACAGGATTTACTATTGAACAAGGCTGGATCAACATATAGATCCGTGAGAGATCCATGACCACCTACTCATTACTTAATTCACGATTCCAGGAATATCGCCCCAATATAGGATACTAAGAATATAATCCCAATAAAGGACAATCTCATTTTCATCAATTACATTAAACATGCTGAATTATTGATTAGATGTAATGTAAATTTCATAACCTCACTTGATCTTTATATAGAAATACTATAATTGTTACATATATTCAAAAATATATAAATTGATCCCAGAATTGTTTTGATATTAATTTGTTATAGATAATTATTCCTAAAAAATAGTGACATCTCAATTTGTTTGCACAAGTGTCATCAAATATACACTACAGTTTTTTACCTCTAAATCCTATTTGTCTTGTCAATGATATGCTTTATCTAAGTAAAAAAGCACAAAATACAAGTTAAAATATCACAAAGCATTTATAGAAACTAAATATGATTTTAATAATGCAAAGTCCTTAATGTAATTATTTTCTTTTGTATTTGCAAGTGTGCCAGTGTATCAACAAAGAATTAATTTCTGACCACTGTTGACCTTTCAGCAGGTATCAAGTAACAAATTGTTAACCTCTAATTAATACCTTTTAATTGTGAAAAAATTAAATGTGTTATAAGATATTCAATCTGACAGTTTTTTTAATGATAGGAAATGTAATTTTGCAAGGAAGATCTGCTAATTTTCTGTACTTGATTTTCTGAGAAAAATCTAATTTTCATTTAGTTGTAGTATTTATTGAGGATTGATGATTCAAACTTTCATCCCTGTTTTGTATGAATTTCTTTATTCTTATCCATTTTTCTAATAATGCCATTTGTGTCTTTTATTGAATTAGAACATACAATGTTCAAAAGTGACTATGGCAGCATGAGTATGTAAGATGTAATCAGATTCTTGTAATGAAATAAACCTATCATTTGAAAAAGTATAAAAATGAAATTCACAAAAATTGTATTACTTGTGGTTTCAATATAATCTTAATCAAGTACATTTTTTGTAGATTTCCACTTTGCCATTTCCTTGTAACGTTAATGTTTTGGTTTATCCACGAAGTCACTATTACACTCATTGACTTGGTGTCCAAGGTAACATATGTTACACATATGTATGATTTTGTAAACAATAAATATTATCTTACATTAGTAAAGTTTTCCATTTTAATGCCATCCAAATATATTAAATATTAGTCAAATGTCATAATTGGATACTTTGAATTATGGGAAACTTGATATTGAGAGGGAATGCAGGGATGCTGGGATACATAGACCACCCTCAAGTTAAAGTACCTGTTCACTTCTAGGTCAGGTCCTACCAGAGGGGGCCGAGAAGCACATCTGGGTAGCGTGATAATCAAATTACAAAATAACATATTTTGCATGTTAATAATTGCCATCAGTGAAATTATAATTTTCAGTGCTAGGAGACAATGTGAATTTTTTGAGACTTGTCAAAATTATGACACATCTCCATTAGAAATTCATTTTAGTCACGTTAGGGCTCCAAATAAAATTTTATTCCAAATAAAAAAAAATCCGAAAATCTATAAATGTATATAATCATTGAAAGTTAAATATTATACAGTTAAAAATTGATTGTTTATATTTTGGGAATACGTGATGGTTTATATGTGGCAATGGTGGTCACTTACACAATTAATGGTACCAATTGCTGCCTTTGTGGGTAAAGGTTAACCCTAAAGCCAAGTACAGCTTGTTTCGGGTTGGAGGCAGTTTGGGCTCGTGTAACCTAAATACTACGGTCCTGACCACAATAAGTACTGAAGCTATAGAGAGAAAGCCACTCAGTACATACACCTTGTGGTGGGCCAAGAGACAATACCAAAACTACCACTTCACTGTATATGTTGCCATTTAAGGATCGGATGTTGACATATATTGACAACTTCAATTGTTAATTCCTCAAGATGAAAGGATACTAAGCATATCCCTTTAAGTTATTTATACTTTTACATACATCAAATGTCAGTTGTACATCCAAAGGAAGCTGACCTTTTTGGTACGTATGAGTTCATTAAAAACATAAGTGATTAGTATTAAGTTTTGACAGCTTAAGTGTAAAGTTGCACATTTCTTAATACTGATATCCTGAATCACTGTGTTTGGTACTTCCCAGGGTATTGACGCCATTGTAGGATCTGGGGTCATATTTCCTTGGATGGTGACATCATCGTACATATGTTTCCCATCTCCTAGGTCAGGATATATTTTGGAAATAGGCTACATGATATTTGACATACTGCACTGGAATCATAATAAATCCTAGGTTTTGTACAATCCTAGTGCATAATATGAATGTCACTAAAAGACATCCTTTTGCAGGGATAAAAAATCCTGACTAAAATGTCTCAATGGGCTGTATATAATAACAGTGTAATCATTATCACATATATTGTTGTAAAGCACAAATGGGTGCATTGAAAATGCAAAACAAAACAAACTTAATATTTTTGTTTAGCTGTGGTTCCTTGAATCCAGATACCCCTCAAGTGCATAATCCATCTGAGTCATCAACCAATATACTACAAACAACAAACTGCTAAAATGAATGCATAATCAAATGGAAATTTTGAGAAAAGTTTGAGGAAGTAAAAACTTCAACTGAAGGCCCGATCAGCTGACTCAGTTTCAGCATCTTTACTTAATGTACTCAAGGCATGCAAAAAACAAAAATTGCCATAAAAAACTTTTGAGTCATTATTTACTGATTAAATGTTGACTGAACATTCAAGTGATGAGGTTATCTTAAAGGTAGTGACTGAACACCAGAAATGTACTAACAGATAGTAATCACTTCCTTAATTCCTTAATTTGTCTTTTTTATATAAATAATGTTGATGGTTGATAAATTGATAATCAAGGAGTTATAGCCCCGTTAAAAATGTTTCAGGTCAATAGGTGTAAAATGTAGTGCAAAAAGCTTATCCTAGGCACATCCTAGTTCTCATCTTAGCACATTATATTAACTTGAAAAGCACAAAGGTTTTACAGGACCTTGAGTAAATAGTTTTTAGAACTTGTTTTATCACAGAATTATAACACGTTTATTACTCAATGACGAAAGTTTACCTCCATTAAAGTTCTTTGACGTAAATCTTTAAATATCATCTAAGTTCATTTTAACTGTACCCAACTTGAATATATTCTTTTGAGTAATTTTCTGAATATTTTATGAAAGACAATTTTATTTAAAAAAAATTTGGAAATACAATTTTTAATAATTTTATAAAAACCAATTATTCATAATAACATACTGTAATATAATTTTGTTATAGTTTTTACATGTTCTGTATTTTGTTGTAGGAAAAAGTTTCAACCTTTCAATCACAGTCTCCAGTTTTCCCCCACAGATGGCACTGTACCAAAAGGCCATAAAAGTCACAGTTGATGGACCCCGTGAACCAAGAAGCAAAACAAGTAAGGTTTTTTAATATCTATACTATTTTAGTAAATCATTTTAATTTTATTGAAAAAATTATAAAAATCAACATAATTGCAATATGTAAATATTTTTCATTATTATACAATGAATGTATTTGTTGTCTGGTTATATATTTCTTCGCTAATTTTTAACCTAATGAATTTTTGCTTTTTCATTCTATTTGTGCACAGCACCTTTTCATTTTCATAACTAAAAAAATGTTTGCTTATATTTTAATCATTTTTTAATTAACTAAACATAGCTCTTTTAATGAAGTATTTAGTCTGTACCACATGTTGTCTGCTAAGACTACTATAGCAATTACATTCTTGGTTCTACAATCCCACCCCCTCGCTGATCTCTTCTATTGTTTCATTCTGTGCGATTACCTATTAGTTTTTTCCCATGTTGTCAAGAATCTTCGTTCCCATGAAATACCTTCGAACTTAAATTCACAGATGTACACTAAAAGACTTTCAAATTGTGGGAAAATTTTTATTCCATAAGTTTCAATAGCTGAAAACAGTGGGATTCCGTAGAAAATGTGATTACCTAATTGTTCACAGAAAGAAATTCCCCGGGGGTACGGTGTACATAACCTCCCTTATAAACCATCTGTAGTTTTTTATTTGATTAAAAAAACAACTGTCTTCGCTTGTTGAAGCTAAGACCTTCTCTCTGTTTGATCACAAAAGTATTCTAATGGCCAATCAAATCTCATCTTTTGTATGAATCTACGGGATTGAAAAGTGTGTTGGGATACATTTTGACAGCTTTATGCTTTGTTGGCGATAAATCGTAATTGAAAGAAAAACTTTACACCCAAAAAGGAATTGTAGTCGGGGAAGAGGGAGCGCTAAATTCTTGGCATAATCAGTTGCGCTTCACTTAACTGGACATATTCGTATCTCAATGCTCCATGTAAAATGATACGTTAGAGTAGCTTTATAGTCGCGTTTGAGTTTGATTAGTAATTCAAAACATAGCGTATATTCTAATGTATGGGATCATCGCGACCTGTTGTCAGCATTGAAATTCAACATCAGTGAAAAGATTCTCAAACTTGCACATATTTCCTAACAAAACACGTCTTAAATGGTACTTGACCCTTGAATTCTGGGTCATGTGCTTCTAGATTCAAACTCCGGTCTCGGGACCCTAATTTGTATCCGATGCACACGTTTGGCTCATCGTAATCGTCCCGCCACTGCATAAACCTACACAGTGGCACTCTGAACATGTTGTGCTGAATATTATCCTATTATACTAAGATAATGGCTTGGCTGAAAGGGAATGTCTAACTTGATGAAACTATTGTGTAAGATGTGCAACCTACATCTGTTCCGGATCATAATTGTTTTTTAAAGTTTACAGAGCATGTGTTTAACATTGGCCAACTTTATACAATCGTATCCTAACCCATATGTGACTAAAATGGGATTTTAAGATATGCATATGCTCATCATTTACAAAGGTAACCCGATACCCGATTTTGGGGGAAACTGCTAATCAAATTCCATAATATTTAATACTTTTTGCCCCAAGTGCAAGAGTAAGTAATTGTCTCAGGTTCCTAATGATTGTTATTAAGGAACCCGATGAGGGAAACATTGCCGGAAGCATCTTGATATTTAATGATGAGCATAAACAGAGGGTGATTCAAGATTTTAAGTGACATTCAAAATTATTTTATAAATTAGAATTACTCAATGAGAGAAAGCATGCATCAGTAGGCAAACCTAGGGATAATTCAAAATTGAAAATTTTTAATTTTTCATAATCCTGTGACGGATTCAGGTGACGGATCCCAGTTTTGAACGGTTTTGAGAGTTAAAATGATTTTTATTTTCGCGAAATGCAAGAATTTCTGAAGCAAGTGAAAGTACCGTATGTGTTTATTGATAAATAATTCAAATTTTCAGTTTCTCGAAATTGTAATAAATAACAATCTAACATATAACAACAGCTATACAAAGAGAATTTTGGTAAATTACCTTTATAAGTATGTAATATCAAATCATGGCATAGATATTTGACACTCCTGAAGTATTTGTAGTAGTTTTTCAAGTGTTTATTTACCTATATAAGATTATAGTCCAATTGAACTTAAATTTGGATCTCCAGCAGATGTATAATACCCACACATTGCTAGTTACGGCATGTAGGATTGTTTTGGACAATGTGCATACAGATAATTGAACAATTTTATGGTTTATTGAATCAATTTCAAATGTAAGAGTATTTATGTCATTGATATCCTGTTTTGTTGGTGTCTCACAATTCTTGAAATATATTTTATCATTGTTCCAATAAAAAACTATGTCATTGTTGACACAAGATGTGGAAGTTGCAATTTCCTGTATTAAATTATAAAGTTCAATGATGATATCTTTTAGTTTCATTTTATATTTCTTTGTGATATCTCAATGGAGAAGTCACTTTAATACTGTCTTCTGAGGGAGAGGTCTAATCTCCTCTCTCAAGTCCATATCTGTATGTGATAATATCAAGTGAAATTGTAATTGATGGAATGCCATTGCAATGTTAAGAATGTAATTCAAGGTAACCATTTGATTTGGGATTATCTTTAAGGTCACATTTTAGCTGACCAATTTGTACTTCATGACACTTCATATGATACCGAGGCTACCTTGCCAAAAATATGAAGTCATATGTACATGGATTTTGTTATTAATTTCTTATGTCACGTCATGCTTAGGGTTACATAAAAATGAAATATTTCAGTAATTGCTTGCACTTTTGTAATAAGCATTTGTATCACTTTTTGAATGTGAACAAAGTATTCACTAATGATCTATTAACACTTTCGTAGATTAGTTTTGCTTTGTTTTGTGGATTTCTGCTAATCCCCACCTTTGAACAGCTTTAGAAAGTCATTAGGAATGAAAACTAATGACTCGCAAAGAGAAATTATTATCTTTACTTGCAATTGTTTGGACAATAAAAAACAGAACTCTTGTTTTTTTATATTGTGCTGAAAATACTAACATAAATGCTTTTTTCAAAACATTTACAAAAAACATTAAACTATAAGCATTGTTTGATATGGTGATACGCTTAATCAAAATGCTTTGGTAAATTGAATAAATCTCAGTTTTTTTTTATTAGGAATTAGGCATCATTTTTTTGTGTTCTCTGGTATTTTCTAGTGTTATCCTAGTTATCACCCTCCCTCTACCTGTATCAGCCTCTTTAGTCAACCTCTACCTGTGTGTGCATAACTCTAACATGTTCTAATACTAACAGGCAGGTTAAACCTCGCCTCTAATAGAAAATAATTATTTCTATCCAGAATTACGTACAGATGACAGACGTATCCCTCCTAGACCTCACCCCCTAAATGTACCCATAGACAGAGGACTCGGAGACCCCTTAGCAGATAGACGATTTTCAACACATCTAGCGGAATTAGAACAATTGCGTAGAACGACACAGATGGAGACGCAGCATATGCACGGTCTCGCTGTGAAAGATCCCATCAATACTTTTGCTCACAGTACTCATCATGGTAAGGAAATTTTAATTATTTTCCATGCTGCCCCAACACACATTGCCTGGGGTCCAGAAGCAAGAAGTAACTGATGATGCAGATCTTTCTTCAAGAAGTAAAATCAAATTATTTAAACAACACAATTTCACCATTTACCACATTTGATCCATTTCTGCAGTTCAGGTATGTTAATAATGCGAAACATTCATCAAAAAGGACAAATAAAAAAAAAATTGAAACTCCGCAACTTAATTTGATTTTTTCTGAATTTGTCATTTAGAAATATCTGAGAAAGCTAATTTTTGTTGCCATAGTGTCTGATTAGTTCATCCACAATAAGATGATGAAGGTAATCTCATTGAGTTAGATTATATAAGATTGTCAAACTCGCTTATTAAGCATGTTGTGTGGCAGGGTTTAGTCATTTTGTGGTTGCTCAAGGACTTCTGTTGGACTTTCTATCAGGTACTGGTCAGAGTTATTGGATGATTATCACCTGCCACCGTTGACAGGTTGGTCAACATACCAATTCAAGATCTTATGAACATGGGTGATTTTCATTTATGCCTTTATATATACAAATATATGCAAAAATATATAAAAGTCAGTTGTGGAAATCAGAAATGTGATTCAGGTGTTTCTCAAAATCAAAATTGAACCTCACATTTAAATAAATGACAAAATGTTGTATTGAACTTAGGTTTGCAAGGTTTTAAGACTCAGGTAAACAAGTATGAGTAAAAGTACACTGTTGTAAATATATGGTCACTATGTATGGTTTAAAAATAAGGTATCTTCTACCACTAACTAATTTAGAGGTGAACCACATTTTACATAATCCAGTCTCTCCAGACTATACCACAAACTGTATACCTTTACCCATAAATGGGCTGTTAGTTGGTAAATTAAGGTTGGTAAACCCCTTGTTTTGGTCCATTGATGCCTCAAAATGTTTATTAATATTATTTATTTAATTTTATTTTGATATTGTGTATAAGTTGAATTGAAATGCTTTTACATAAAAAATATGTTAAATAAATGATTTTTTGAAATCAATCCTCAAAACCATATGCTGGTTTATCAAAGTTGGGGAGTTAGTGCAACAGATTTAAAAATTCATCACTGCCAAAATCACTATGTTCTATTACACAAAAACTGTAAAATAATTATCTCGCATTTAATCTGGCTTGTTGAATGAGCATATGCGAAGATATTATTATAATAAAATTAGCGTTTTAACTAGTAAATGTAGCATAATCCTTTGATCTTGTAAAAGGTTTACAGTTCGAGCTACAGATTTTTTGTGTAAAATTATACCTCTTGTTTTTTAACATTAATTTTCCACTCATGATCACATTTTAATTAACGGGAGTTGGCAAATTAAAAGAGTAAATATTAGATCACGGAGATTTCAAGAGAAATGTCCCATAAAAAAAGAAATAAACCCATAAATTTAGTATTCAAATTTTAATAGATATTTTTTAACTGACAAGGCAATGCACAGTGTTGGACTTCATTTTGTCTTTTGGGCATATGGCACAACTTTGCCTAAATTACAAAACTCATGCAACAAAATGCATTAAGATTTAATGATAATGTCAGAGTGATGATAGCTTCTTAATGTCGCTTCCTTTAAATAAATTATATTGAAATTTCAATTTTATTTTCTTAATACTAATGAAATGTGGCAATATAACCATGAAATATATATTCACAATAATATGGACTTCATACGCCAAAATAGTCAACAGGGAAATAGTAATATTGGTTATATTATTGAAATTGTGTTTCTTCAATTGATAATACTATTAAGTAAATTCTGTAGGGTTTCTGTTGATATATTTTTACATTTGATTATATCATTTCCTGTGTTTAGAAATGAGGGGGTGTAATGATTATAATCAGTAATATCAAACTACTTGTAATAAAGATTACATAATCAATTGAGGACAGAAATATATGAGTCATGAACTGGAAAACTATCAATATTTTATTAACACACTGTTGCCTGCTAGGCAAAACTTCTGGGCATCAATTTACGAGGGTTTGGGTTTGATCCTTGCTGTTTTAAAAGCATTGTAATATCTCACATTATTTTAAACACATTTCCTTAGCATTGTATGATTTCATTTCTCAGATAGAACGCTTTGTGATTTTTTGGGTATTGATTATTTGCACTGCACGTGCCTCTGGTTCTTTTGAATTTATTTTTTATCCCTCAGTCACTTTTTGTATATAATATATTATACCTAAAGGCTTAAAAGTTGATTGACCTGAAATTCAGCATTCAAAACTTGATGCTTTATGTACGCTATATCATTTCTGTGACAGAGATAATCTTATCTTGAGTTGTTTATATAATGTAGCAGATGTTGATTTTCTGCTTATATGTCATTATGTATTATACTATTAAAGTTATGCATTTTATCGTATATAGGGATTAAGGTGGAATACTCTATTATAGAATACAACAACAGTGCTGTAATCTAGATTTTAAATCAGTTGATCAATACAACAATAGAGCCGAATACAGCCAAAACCATAAAAACAAAAAAACTTTGAATTATATCACCTTTTATACAAATCAAATCAAAATTAACATGAACTTAGTTTATAGCTAACATACATCTATCTCCATTCTTCGTGCTTGCCAAATTTGGAGACTTAGGATTTCCAGGAAATTCTCCACGTAAATAGATTCTGCAGCAATCAACAGCTAGACTGTGATTCATATCCCAGGAAATTTCTGCTAACCTATTTTTAATATCCATAAATTGTTTCTGAAGTGTTCTCTCAGATGGAATGATTTATGTAAGATGTTAAGGTGTATGGTGGTGAAAATTAACATTTTGTTAATTTGTTTTACCATTTCTATCCAGTATTCATCATTAAGTCTAATGCTGCAATAACGAAAACTAATGTTTTCATTCATAAAAAATGTAAGATTGATTGCCGCCTCGTTTAAGAAAATGATTTCAATGAAATTATGCCCAGATTGAGTAATGGTATCAAAAGAAAATTTCAATTTACAACGGAAAACAATATTTTTTAATTAATCAAAAAATAATTACATGTCTTATGAGTGGAATCATGAAAAATAGTTCTCAAATGACAATATGTGCACTAAGGACATACTTTACATAATAAACTCGTAAAATCACTGGCGTTTATTTTGAATTAAGTCCAAATCAAAAGCAAGCCAAATATTTGGTAAATTATCCAGGTCAGTTTTTGCGGTGACATGTGGCTTACCATTACACACTTCGCGTGGGCGGTTGTTACATTGAAAGCCCCAGTTCTTACTCAATATGTTCACCAAACAATTCTGACACTTTCATTGTTAATAACATATTTGGTGATTATGTTACACAATTGGAAATAATATCAGTTATTTAAGCCATTGGACCTCCATTTTAATCTATGAACAAATATTAAAAAACTAAAAATTTAAAATATCTGACAAATGTTAAACCCATTTTCAAGGGTTGGTAGTAAAGTGAGATAAGTCAATGGTAAACAACTTACTTGTAGCCTACTCTAGAGATATGATTGCTTTGATAGTGCTAAGTATGACTGAATTGGGGATAAGTAGACTAGTAAGATAAACTTACTAGGGACTACTTTCTTTAAGGTATTTCCCCATTCAGCTTGACTTTCTACATAAAGGAAACACACTACAGTTTTAATCATACACTAAACTGATGAAATATTTCCTAAAGTAGGGAAGCAAATCATCAAATCATTAATTCTACATGACTTTACTCATATTTCAATAATATATGATTTTCAAATGTTAAAGCTCAATTTTCCAACAAATATGACTCAATTATATGATGATTCTACAGAGTGAGCTATATATGGAGACATTAATTCAATTTTTATTACAGCACATACTGATCACCCTGTATTCAAACAATACTTCATCTTTGATGTCAATGTTGCTTTAAGAATGTCATCATTAATTTGCAATTAGAGTACATTTATATCCAGATTAACTAGATGTGAGAAGTTGCATCACAATCTTGAGTCACTAATTAGAACTGATATTCACAGTCATAATGAAATAATTATTGTAGAGTTGAGTCAGAAGGTTTCTGCTTTGTGTCAGTCAGCATGTAGTCACTTTGTCATGAGGCTAAGTAAGGGACAAAGGGACCATATTCATACTGTTAGCGTTATATTAAGAGATGGGTTATGATTGGCATGGGTTTTTGGGTTTTCTTATGTTGCCCTTTGTGGTGAGTGGTTCTTGTTGCAAGATGACTCTGAGTCTGTATATTGGAACCATCATAAAGGTGTGATATTGCATATACTAGTACCCCGGACAGGTTGTATGATGCAGTCGTGTTTTTACTCTATATTTGCAATAGAACAACCATTCTTATTAAAATTTTCATATTTTATTCTGGAGACAATTTCCAACATGGAAAAAAATATTTTAACAAAATTCCTAATTTTATGATTTTGAGAGGCTTTTTTTGTCTCTAGAATAAAACTTGAAAATGTCAATAAATATGGTTGTTCCATTGCAAATGCAGAGTAAAAACAAGACTGCATCATACAACCTGTCCGGGGTACTAAGTAGTCAGTAACAGGTTTTTATGACTCAATCACATGAGAATGGTCTATCCTATCATTTTCATTAGCATCATCAACTAATAGATTGTCATCATCCATTTCTGCTTTGATAATATCTTCAATGATCTTGGTATTCTCATCACAATCATCATTGTGTTTCTGAGGTTTCATCTTAATATAAAATTTATGTTTTGTGTATAATAAAGATTTTCGGAGACTAAAAACTTATGGAAAATGTCAAAGGAAATGTTGAGGAAATGTCTTTCAGAACTACTGTTGTTTGTTTGTTGGTTTGTTTGTAATGTTATACATTCATAAGGTGATTAGTTGTGCATGTTGTTTGGTCCATAGATGATCAAATTGCAAGAGGAATGCTAGAATTTGTTGAAGTATGATTAACTGGAGAGATAGCAGCATCTTTTAGTAGCTAGACATCAGCT